CTTAACTTCAAACAAACAAACTTCTCGTAATGTGAAAGGAAATGTGAGCTCATTTTAAGTAACTTATATATATATCTTGTTACTGGTAAAGATATCGTAATTATTGCGGTACAATTTTTTATTATTTTACGAGTGGCTAGAGGACATGCATCGTAACGTGCAACACAAAAATATCCACGAAAGGCTTGAAAGTTAGATTAAATCTTGAGGCTAAAGTAGCATCTAGATTTATCAAATTATTATTTTATTCATTTCATTTCATTTTCTGAATTACAACAAATAATGTTATCAGAGAATATAAGTTGACAAAACACTGCTTTACGTTGTTCATTTACCTCTCATTTCCTTGGGCCACAAAATATTACATTTAAAATGTAGTCGGAATGAAAACAGGCTATATTTCGTATTTTATCAAAACTGTTTCGATTTTTTAATGTCATTGGAAAAGCTATGTTTAGAAGAAATACTTTATTTCACGTTTTAATTTCTTTCCAGAATGATTAGCCACAATCATTCCTCACAATTTCTATGCCGATATAATCTTCGAACAACAACGAGATTTCTCTCATTTCAACCTATAGGTTAAATCTTCACAGCAGGTAGCTTGTGAAAACTCCTAGGGGGCGCTGTTTTTTAACCTTCTGTTCATGTGTCAAAGATTATATATATTGTAGCATTCAGGTAGCAGACGTCAGCGGCGGTGAAACGAGAGTTTTCCGACGTTCCAATGGAATATTAATCAGATGATAAGCTAGTCTCAGATGGTTAACAGTAGTTGGCGCCGCTCCTGCGTAGGAGTAGAACATCCTTCACTTGACGTTTCGGCGCCACATTTCACCTGTTCTACCAATGAAGATTGTTAACCCTTTCGAAATTGTGTTCTTGACCTTTGTGCTTATGGTGCTGTTTTCTATGTTCGTTGGAACCGACAAGTTTTTCATGGATTTGACAATGAGTGATTAGTTTAAATGTTTTGTACATACTATACCGAATAGTGTTTACCTCTATCTTTTACGTCTATCAGCTTGTCATTATTATGTCATTATTGTCTGACTTACAGACAATTCAATAAGTTGGTTTTAATATAGTAACATTGCAAATTAGTCTCCTTATACCACTTTTAAAAACAACAACAACAAACAAACAACAAAAGACTAAATAAATACATAAAAATATTCTAGCATGACTGCCGATAATCTCCAGATTCTAATATTGCCAACAATTTTTCTCTATTAAACGCTTGAAGTAGTAGAGAAATTCATCGGATACAAATATTATCAGTTTTATCGTACGTTACTTTTACGAATGCTGTTAAACTTATTGGACACAAAATAAGACAGCCACAATTATATATATATCATAAACCTTATCCTTTATTATGGTAAACAACGTTAACTATTTGTGGTTACTGACTTCCTTGTTTATTTTCACATGAAAACTTCTTGATATTGAGATTGAGTTTTGTATTAATATGTAAAATTCATTACATAAAAGTATTTTAGATAAAAATTATAAACTAAGTGCAAATAATCAGACGTGAAAGTCCCACGGAGTTAAGCTCGAAGGTAGATAAACGTTTAGAAGCTTCTAAATATAAACCTTTGAGACAAATATTTTACGACTAGAGAAACTCTAAACTTATTGTACCGCATCGACGGTATATAAAAATAACACCCAATAGGTGGCAGTGATGCTGCGCATGTTATAGATGACAAAAGAGTAAATAAAATAAGTGCTAGTAAATGCGTATCTAACACATCTCCCACCAGGTGTAATATGGCGTTACTATGTAAGATCTTCCACCAGGTGGAGCGTCCTAAGGTAATGGCGCTTAGAACGCAAATTGGCTCACCGCATGTGATGTTTTCAACTTCATGAATTTGTTTTTGTGAGATGCTTTTGTTAACAGGCGATCTACTAGTGAGATGTATGATTCTTTGAATATTTTTGTGAAGGTATATTGTTTTTGTCGGGACTTTCTACTATAGTGGAAGACATGACTTACATTGTAATGCCGTATTTCACTTCCTGTCTATTTGTAGGATGCAGTAACACTGACAAAACGACGTTTAATAATAATCTGGTGAAAATTTTCAAGTCTGAATACGAACGATTGGAAAACCCGCCTGATTTTGGTAAGTTCGCAAAATATTATTGTCTTCTTACTTTCGACTAGTAGAATTTTGAAATATATATATACCTGAACTCCCATCTTTATGTGTGTTCTAACAACTTTTCCCAAACATAATTTTGAAATATATATATATATATGTGCCCATCTTTATATGTGTTTAAACAACCTTTCCCAAAGATAATTTTGAAATATATATATATGTATCTGTGTCCATCTTTATGTGTGTTTAAACAACCTTTCCCAAAGATAATTTTGAAATATATATATATGTATCTGTGCCCATCTTTATGTGTGTTTAAACAACCTTTCCCAAAGATAATTTTGAAATATATATATGTGTATCGTGCCCATCTTTATGTGTGTTTAAACAACTTTTCCCAAACATTGTTCAATGGAGTTGTATAAGATTTTTTTTCGGAGATTGGGTGAGCCAGGGAAAATTTCTTATTAGGAGCGACAGAGAATACGATTGATGGAAGTTACAGGATATACAGTTTCTGGGATTCAGAGGGTATAGGGTTACCGGGAGTTACAAGGTATACAATTGAAGTGAGAGTAAACAGTTGTTGAGTGTAACAGGTATACAGTTGCTGGAAATCAGTGGATATAGGATTACTGAGAGTTACTGGGTATATTTGCTAGAAGTCAGTGCGTATAAGATTACCGAGAGTTACAGGACATACAGTTACCGGGAGACATAAGATCTCCACTTGCTGGGAGATACAGGGGATGAAGTTACTCGGAGTTACAGGAATGTAGATTCTGTTTATTCCATGACCTTTCTTCACAGTGAACTGGATAAATTTCAAGTAAAACACGTTAAATTAAGCCTGCAACTAACACCTACTTATATTTATCTTTGGGGATATTTGAGTTTTCTCTTTAAAGAGTTTGTACGCGTAGACCATATCGTAAATATTTTTACAGATTACAACTGCGTAGCTTGCCTGGAAAGACAAATTCTTGCTCTACTATGTGTATCATGCTGCGACTTGAACATTTGTAAAGGAGAAAAACGAGCGAAAGATTGAGTATTCAATATTTAAATCACACAAGAGTTGCTAGGACCGTCTTCTTTTTTTAATAGTCAAGTTGTACATGTCACCTGGTTGGACCACGTGACTTATACATGTATGCCCGACCAGTTGTTTTAATTTATTCTGATGTCCCAAAAGCTGAGTCTAAAATCCTTTTATCTTGTCAACCAAATTACGAGAAACTTTTCAAAACTCTGGCAGACAAATAACACTCACTCCATTTGAAAAACTTAGAGTCCAGTAAAAAAGTAAATAGTTTGAGGCATGAAAATATGAAGTGAACGTTTTAAGAGTTATAATATTTATCTGGCACAATATCACATCTGTACTCATCACACGCTAAAGTGTCATTATTAGACAACATTACACACTAACATTTCCGTCGACGTTAACTTTCCTTGTTACTTACAAATTAGCATTTGTCCACATACCGCGCACCGAATTCACTTCATGAGCGAAGGCTCCAGTCGCCCGGTTTGGAATGCGAAGGTCGATTGGCTGGCGACCTTCCGTGAAGGGATAAATAGAGATGAAGAGTTAGCGACGTGCCGACTAAAGTCCAAGTTGGGGTCGTCCATTACGACCCTGGACGAGTTATATGACCCAAGAGTGCCGCGTGATCAGATCAATATGACAACAGGCTTAGGCATATCGATTTGATGTAATAATGGCTTGGCTAATTAATAGATTATAAGCGTTTTGTCTTTTTTTTTTCACGTAAGAGAGCGTAAACATTGTTAATCATAACAGCAAGTATAAGTGAACCTTTAATCCTTCACCTTTGAACCTGCTGCTAAACGTTTGGTCAAAACTCTGATCAAACGAAGAGAATTAATCGTGCTCTTATAATCAAAATACAATATGGTAACAAACACCAATATCGACTGTCCACTGGTGTCATTTTGGTATAATATTTTTACAAACTTTGTGTACATGCAAATAATACTTCAGCATCACAAAAATGGCGTAGCTCGTTAATACATGAAATATTACAGTCAAAATCGGTATCAAACAATAAGAAACAAACTGCTCCCAGTGGAACAGCGGTATGTCTGCGGAATTACAACGCTAGAAACCGGGTTTCGATACCCGTGGTGGGCAGAGCA